CACACCCCCACACCCCCCACACCCCACCAGAGGGGTCCAATAGGGGAAACATAGCTAATTCTTCAAAATCCTCCTTTTGCTGTAGGAATGACAGGTTTTGTCCAATTACATATAAGTACAAGCCCTGACTACATGTAACCATGTCATGCATGGTCAACTTCAATTTTGCTAACATTTCCAGGTGAGCCATACAGGCCCTCTGGGCCTCTTGTTTAGTAAAGATGTGAAAATAGAAAATAATAGAAAGGTAAAAACACTTAACATGGGAATTTTTCAGGTCCGTCTAGTCGATGGAAAATATGTCTGACACTGACGCATGCAAACCAATATTCCGCATAATAATCGCACAACGAAAACAGCAAATAACATACAGAAACTGTATGACGAAACACCACAAAGACTGACCACTCGGACACTACAATTACAGAGTACGATACAAACGAAACGAACGCACACAAAACGTAACCTTACTACGGTAATACGGACGATACTAGAACGGACGACGCAAGTTACGGACGTGCTAAACAGTACGTTGGACAATCGGGTCAATATTACAAAATGTCCAATACTCAATATTCTAATTAAGATCAGAACAAAACACCTTGAAATATGTCCCTGCTAGAATTACTTTAATAGTTCATTTTGATTTTTGCAGTCAGGAGGAGCACGCGATGAGAATGCAGCTGGAACGCCTACAAAAAGACAAAGCTAGGTATTCAATGGAAGCTGAAGCAAACGAACAGGTAAACCAGTAATCATCCCAGTTCTTACTAACCAGTAATCATCCCAGTTCTTACTAAACTCTCTCAAATCTCACTTGACTCTGGTGTGGTACCGAAAGACTGGTGCGCAGTCCAAATTGTCCCAATATTGGAAAATGGACTGAGACAAACAGCTTCTAATTACCGGCCACAGTGTCCCTGGCATGTGTCATCTGCAATTTATTAGAACACATTTTTCATAACAACAGTCTGTCCTGTTTGGACCAATTTAAACATTATCATTGAATTTCAACATGGTTTTAGATCCAAACACTTCACAGGAACCCAATTAATGCTAACAGTTGATGAAATCTGTCGTAACTTAGAAAATAAAACACAATCAGATTTAGTACTGCTTGATATTTCTAAAGCATTTGATAAAGGCCCCATAACAGGCTCTTGTCCGAGCTACATTTTTATGAAATAAGGAATAGCACACTCTCCTAAATAAGATCATTTTTAGAATCTCGAAACAAACTTGTATTACTTAACGGAGAAAAATCAGACAAGGCCCCCATGCTATCTGGGTAATGTCACACAATTTGTCACGTGCTATATACGACTATAAGATGTACGTCATGTATGCGATAACAAGCCCTCCCCAGGAAAAATGAGTAAGGCAGAGTAAGAATTTCTAAATTGAAGCAATAAATAAAAATATAAGTGGAAAAATGTATCCTGCGCCTAGCCCTCTCCCCTATTGTACTAACAACTTTGAAAGTGGTATTGATGACGTCGGGTGTTACATAATTTATTCCTGTTGGTCAATAATGATATACCTTAAAAAGTCTTATATATATATATATATATATATATATATATATATTGATTTACGTACATGTGGCATTACTTTAAAATATGACCAAAATGAGCTGGCACTGAAGAAATTAATGAAATACTAAAATCAAGCTGGTCGTTCAACGGAAATTTGATAACAGGTGTGCGTCAATCGGGAACCCTTGGCACTTTCGGTGAACGAGAAAGTGCCGATGGTTTCCGATTGACGTTAGTCTCGTTCAACCAGACGATAGATCACTTGTAATTCAAGAGTCTGGTTAAACACAGTACTTTAAAATTACCATCACCAGAGGGCAGTGTTTTTACTTACGTTTCCGGACGTTATGTCAACGCCATTAAATATTTCAATGAATAATGAAATTAATGAAAAAAACTTACCTATACATGCATTCCTGAAGTACCCGTGTATTCCCTATTATCGAGATTCCCTATTATCGAGAACAATAAAAGAAAATGTGTCAAATCTCCAGAATAATGCCATATAAATCATAACTGAGCACAAAGCCAACAAAGCTGACTGAAGTTGGAAAAAGCATGCAAAGCAAGTGAGATTTTACCTGTACACCATTCAAAACACCCACAAGTTCTCACTCAGGTAATCTGGCTTGACTTGTATCAATAGCCTGAAGCTTGACAGCTTCATGAATTATTGTAAAATATCCAATGAAAATACATGAAATCATTCTTTTTGAAGCATTTTCTTCCATTTTTCTCGTTAATAGTGTAATCATGAATACTTCAGGAATGCATGTACAGGTAATTTTTTCATGAATTAAAATATTCAATAAAAACTTTGCGCCACTCAAATTCTGACTTCAAAAGTTGAAAAGGGTATGTCAACCTTTGACCAATTAACTCATTTACCAGAGTTCTGATAAGCCTCGTTATGATGTCACAAAACGAAAGCACTGGGTTTGACCAGACTCTCTGTTCTCGGCGCAAGAAGAGTCTGGTCGAACGAGACTAAATTGACGTGTGCGTATGACGTCATAGTCAATGGCAATCGTGGGTAGTAGTACTACGATGCGGGAGGAAAATATGATAGACATGTATATCGTTGTCATTATGTGTCAGTTAGAGATACAATAGTCATTATACGAGATGTAATACAATAAGAAATGAGAAATGTAAATAAACAAAGCGAATAACTACCAAATGGTTCGTACTTATCTAAAACCAAATTCGAATTTCGTGAAAGTAAATGTTTTGTTAACCTGTCGAAAATCAGTCAGTACTGTCAGAGTCGATGAGAGATTAAGTTCCATAGATAATCTTGAATGGCTCTGACGAAATAAAACCTATCTGTTATATGCATTGATCGTTCTGTTCGAGTATGATATATCGACTTTGTCTGGATGTGTAGCAGGGCTGATGCTTTATTTTAAACTTGTTTATTTTAGTATGAAGGAAAGAGAAGATTTTCTGAGTCGGACAGTCACAATGAACACTTCCGGCGGCACAGGTAACAATCGGGATTATACTTGTCCTAGTTAAATCTGTCAAAATGTTCAATACAGATAATACTTATATAAGCATAGTAACTAGGGCGTTCTGAGTATATTTCACACCTCTTAACATTTTAACACACATGTGTTAACCATTTTACTTGAAAATATAATGTTTACATGATGTGTACACAATGTAAACATTTACATTTTCTCTTAATTGCCACATTACAAACCTTCGTCAGACATGCAGTGAAAACTAATTATGGCGTCATAACAATTTGGACATTATAGCCATGAGTTTGAGATGGATACCCAGTTGTTGTTCCATTTATTGAAACTCAAACTTAAATTTAAAGAAGAAATTAAAAGCTTACATATATATACATGTACATTGTCAAAATTAACGGATACATATAAGTATTAAACTGCATTCTGTTCAGAGTTAAAGTCCTGTAATATTTCTTAACAGTATTGCGGTAAATGTGTATAACGCGCTAACGGACGGTATAAAGTATAAAGTTTACTAGCGTTTTCTTCCGTCCATTTGCAGAGGATAGAAAGTGAAGGTTCGTCTGGTAAACTGATTCATGACGATTTCAAACAGTTTCAAATCTTAATTACCTTGTTAAAACTTATCAACAGTTAGAAATAGTTCACTATTAAACGATTACTCGTTTTGATAATTCATTTAATCATGGAAGAATGGAGGTTTTTTTTATAAGTTCCGCTCCCAATATCTTTAATCTTATGTATGTGGAACTACTGTCTGACCTGTTGTGATCGAGATACTATGACATACTTTCAACAGTTTCTCGTCGCATTTGCCAAACATAGCGGGAAAGAGAAGTTTTCATTCAAGAGAAGTGCTCCAAAGTGCGCCCAAAAGTCACCGTCAACTGAAAATGGAATCGGTAGCACAGGCACAAGCTTCGCAGTGTTCCATCCAAGAGGTTTCGAAAGACTCAACGGGTCACGTGACGAAACTTCCGAAAATTCAAAAAGATGGTAACATGAATTAAATCATATAATTGAAATATTGACCTCAGAAAAATAGCAGAAAGAACCTTTAGTTGTGCTCTTAAAAAAAAGAGGCATTGTTCAATATAGTTAAAATTTTAACATCGGCTACCCCAACAAAAGTTAGCGTAACAGGTTAGGCGCCAGGACGGATTTAAAATATATTTATTTCTCTAACATCTATAGTAAAGAGGTTTACGACTCGGACAATTGTGAACTGATAGTTTTAATTTTGAAACAAGAAATCAACAGCCAAGCAGACCGCTTGAAGACGACTTTTACACATGTCATAACGTCTCGTCAGCGTACTCCTTTGTTAACTTTGTTGAGGGGATATATTGTTTTATAAATGACAGTAGTGATTGCTTTGAGCTTGATGTGTCTTTTTTACGATGCAATCTTATTGATTCATAATAAGTTATAACATGAGACACAATGGCGGTTTGATTGTTGTCATACTGAAATTATTATGTGATAATAGAAAACAAAGTACTTCATTATTTTAAATATTTTGTTGTTTCTCTCTGTTGCAGTTGACAAACATCGAGATCGGAGAAAATCTATGCCAGCAGGTTCGTTTTCCTGAACCAGAACCAGAGATATCAATTCAGATCTACGAATCGTCTAACACTATACTATATCTATAAACGATGCCCTAAGAGTAACCATGATTTTTTCATATGACAGGTTAAAAGATCTCTTTCTGCTCACGGGTGTAGGATAGGGAATTTTCACCCTTGTTTTTTTTTTTAATTGGTGAAAAACCCTCGACACCAATTTGAAAATAAGCCGGGGGTTAGATTTCCATATCCGACACTTCTGAGCATTCAAACTACCAGAATAAGGTCAGAAACCACAAAAAGTCGTCCTGCTTTCTGCTTTGCAGTTTTGGAATGTTCCCGATGTCGTGACGTCATCTCAATGTTTTCCCATTGTAAGGTCACGCACTTGAACTAGGTTGTTAGATAGAAATTCTTACACTCCTTTTCTTATCCATGACAGTCCTGTCATATATGCAAAGGAATGAGAGAAAAACGTTTCTATAAACGAAACAAGTTCTGTGTACCTTACTTATTAGGCGATAACTCGATTCCAAAGAAAATTTAAAAAAATGTTATTTTGTTACAAGACCTCCAAAATAAAAGCGGTCTTTACGTGGTATATGACATGTGCAAGTATTTAATGAAATGAAATGAATACTGTCGAGTTAACGCCCCTAAATATGTTTATTAATGTAAAGTATGAACAGTCTGACTTCAGAGTAAAACATACATGTACTTAGCACCAACTAAGGAGGAATGGATCTCTGAACATTTATTTTCAGTTTTTGAGAAACTATTTATTATTTGTTTTGCAGACAGTGTTTATGCGAGTATAGAGCGACGACATCATGGCGATAAACGGAAGAAGAAACAACATGCAGGTAATTATTTCAAATGTTCCATATTTTGAACCAATATGATTTTTAACCGAATTTTGTTTATCGTTGTAATATGCATGTGAATTTCGTCGAAAGTCAATCATAAAATGTACAAATATGCAAAATGAGTTATAGATTGTGTCTCTATGCTAAGCCAGTGGAACTTAAGTTCCAGCAAAGCCGCCTCAATGTATTGGGTGATATTGAGGCCAGGCCAAAGTGTGCCGAACGTCCATTAACTTAAGTCATTCCATTGGAAAGCATTATTGTAGTTTAAGGGGGGAAATCTTAACTTACAGAAATCCGAAATTAAATGAATTTCTTAAGCAAAAAGATAAGTTAGTGGATTTCATGAAAGTCCTGAACGTTTTTGAAACTGGGCCAAGTACATGTATATGAAATAAACATATCAGATGTCTGTCATTACACACATGTGTTTGTTATGTTCTTTGTTGCTATCTCTCTGTTTAGGGCCAATGATTGTTGTAACAGACTGTGCCTGCAGTCCCGAGGCCGATATTATTCTATCAATGGATGATCATAATGATCAAGATGGACATGACGCCAAAGCAAGCTACCATTATCTGGATGGGTTACAACACGGGGGTAGTAAGAAAAGTGTCGATTCGGTTGCCAGAGGGAGCCACCATTACATGGATCATGACGCCAGAGGGAGCCACCAACATCTAGATCAGTTACATCACGTAGGTGGTAGGAGAGGGAGCCACCATTACACGGATCACCATGATCACGATACAGAGGAACTGACGACACTATACGATATGGCCATACAGACGGTGGCTTCTGCTAATGAATTCGCCTTCACTCAAGTTCAGGATGTCCACAAGCGCGCCATGCCAAACTGGAAGGTAAGATGACAGCATAGTGGTGTAGGAGATCATGCCGTATTTATATCTCCCATGTACCGTTCCTTCGAACTCGGGAAATGTAAAATGTGGTCTTGTTACTGTATATAAGAAGTTTAGAACTCATGGGCTCGAAAGTAGCTAGACTCGTATTTTTCATCACACAAAATCATATGATTCCTTAATAATATCATATTGTGCGTATGTTGTGTATGCGTTATAATGCACTACGACAAAGAAGGCATGTCAAAACATCTTTGTATGTAATATGATTAAATCATCGACATCCAATATTTCATTTTTTTTGTTCGAGACACAAAGAGAATGGAGAATTGGACGATAATCATTTGAAGTGGCTTCAGACTTGTAATTTTCATAAATTTGAAAATGAACTGTAATTTTTTCAGGACGAAACTAAAATTCCGGATGCAAAACAAATGGATTTATCATCTCTACAGGAACTTGAGACATTGTTAAAGGATGCTCGCCAGTATAATACAAGGTAGGGACAATATTCGCCGGTAAACTGAAATGGTACAATATTCACTTGAAATGAAAAACGGCATTTGATTTGTCAATCGGATAATTTACGACCATATACTCATGTTATACCGTTGTTTTCAATGGTCACCATCTCCGTCGGGCGACAAACATTAACTGGAAACCTTCTGGCAATTTTCTTCAAAGCTTGAATTTGACATTACAACAATGTAACAGTGTGACGACAATGACCGCACAGTGTCTGATTGGAAAACGTTCACGTGTTATATTTAAAGACTGTTCAGCGGAATTTGTCAATATTTACTGGTTCATACAAAGTATGTGTGTGATTTATCAGTAACATGACAATGTATCATACTAATAGTATACATTTTGTGAAGAATCCAGGCGTGAATTTATTTGTTGATTGTATGGGAACCTGACAACAGTCGGTAGATTCTATTACAGCCTCGTTATTTGACATGTCGTCAGAAACTGAGGAAAGGTGGATGCGAGACGCGTGAAACTGATAGCGTTTGAAGTGAGTGATCTTGCGACGGAGCACAGGTTCGTTCCAAATGTCTGAAATGTTTATGTGTGCTGTGACTCATATCAGTAGGTCTGTAACATATGTGTCAGTAGGTCTATAGAATATGTGTATTTCAGACATTTGTAACGAACCCCTGTTGATCAGTGCAGTGTAACAGACGATATTTCTGATAAATTGCATGAGCGTTAAAATTGTTTCCATTGCCGGCATTGGTGATTTCAACCGATGTACATTTTGTACGATATTGCAGACCTTGGTCTTGTCTTCGTTGTAATAAAAGTGTTGTTTTTTTTTTTGTTTTTTTTTTTTATTTTGCACATAAATTTACAATGACATTATCAAATCTCACAATGCCCAGCGATATTTCAGCAGCCGTCATGTTTATTTATATTGGATATTGAAGTTCCGGTCAGTGTTGTATCAATACGCTAAGAAATGTGTCTCGTGATGCATGGTAATTAAAGTCCGATCAACGACACAGCTTTCAAAGAGGTTATATAGTGACAATGCCATGTGAATGTAAATATAAGTCATTTGATCAACATAGCGACAGAAATATTTAACAAATTACATAGCATGATTTGGTTTACATGAAACCCAGGTTAGGAATAAATGATATGTTACAATCAAACCGTGTAAATATAACCATGTAAATGGTTTAATATTCACATTTCTCCTTTTTCTAAGTTTTCTACAAATTATCTTTAAGGATGAACACCTCTGAGATGTCAAAAAATTCCTGTAATAAACTTTTTTTCTTATATTAATTTTTGGAAAAAGGAGTTAATGGCATAGTAGAAAATGCCAAAAAATATATATGTCCGTGTGCTCGTTTTTGTGCTATGATCGGTCAAAGATACCAATTTAACACAATATGTGATTTTAGGTGAATTTTCGGGTTTTGACCATTTGGAGAACAAATTCATTCAATTTCTTCCAAGTGTGTTATCAGATATGTATGAATGTTTGTAGAATTGATAAAAATATTTTTTTCTTTGAAATTATGGAAGTAAAATTTCTTAATCTTATTCACTTTACTCAGAAATGCGATTCTAGTTACCCCTACCCCTTATTTTTTGATGAAAAAAATGCACATTTTTCACCATTTTTTGCAGATTAAACGCTTGATATAAAAATAATCCTGTATTAAACTTTTTTTAGTATTCAATGAATCAAAAGAAAATGTGATTCTCTTTCTAAAACAGCCACAAAAATTGGGGGTCGGTGTGCTTCTTTTTTTGGCCCATTATTATTTGTGTTATTTTTCACCTTTTTCGGGGTCAAAAATCAAAAGTGCTTCAGTTGCCCTATTATGTAAAAAAAATAAAATATACCAATAATATATAACTTTCCACTTTCTTGCATAATATTTTAATCATATTGAACATTATAAAGTTGTACAGCAAAATTGAACCTGCTACAATTAAAAATGGTGATACAATGACAATTTAAGTGATCAATCTAGTGTCAAAAAAGGTGAAATGTTGGCCCTTTGTGAAGCGCAAGAAATTCACATAAATACACTTTTTCAAAATGGCCGCCGAATTGGTCATTTTTTAAGAATTCTTGTAAAAAATGTTCTACACACAACAGACATCTAGTTTTTACATGTTTTTCAGATGTGTGTTTGCTATTATACCTATCAGAATTTGTTAAATATTACAAAAACCCGTTACACCAGATCAAAACGAGACTTGAACGTGACTGAAACCTCAGAAGAGTACATCCTTAAGACACAGATTTTCAATCTTCACCACTGATGAGTCCTAAAATGACTTATTGACCATTTAGTACAGTACAGTGTGTTCTTTTTTGGCATTCTGCATCAATTTGCCAAAATACAAAATCTATGCTTCCTCTTTTTGTATTTCTGATAACATATTTTTTAATCTGTGCCACGTGCGCTTGGTTTTCAGGAAGCAAAAGGAGTCGGACTATGGTCTACACACGGCGGAGAACCGGCAGCAGAGGCGCAGGCTTCAGTTCCTAGAGGAAATTCTCCAGGCGTTAAGTGACAACCATGGCGCCAAGTTTGATCCTATGGAGATGCTACAGTGTGGCTACCTCAGATTGTCAAAGTCCAACGTCGAACGACTCGAGCATATGGTCCGTGAGTCTGGTGTCGATCCTGGTATCCATGCACACAGTGACGTCTTAAATGAAGACATCTGGAACGAGCTGCGGGAACTACGTCAGAAAGAAGCCTTGGAGAGGGAACAACTTGAGAAAGAAGTCGCCGGAAGAAAGAGCAGACACAGTGCTAGGAGAGGTAGTGTGAACAGATACCGTGAAGAGAAATAACACTGGTCATAACATCCTCACTTCTGAAGTGTTGACCTGAAACATCAAAACAGTCCCCGGATGATGTCACTATTCCTGTTATTTGAGCCACTGGTTAATTTTTGTTTTCTTCGAGTGCTGATACTGATCAAAATGTCGTAAAACCCACATGAGAAAAAAAAAAAAAAAAATGAAGAAAAAATCTCCGTATTGTTGGTCTTCTTCTTTAATGTTCCTTTGAACAGTTAACAAAAATCCCTGATGTTTTATCCGGCTATTGAAAAAAACATACTCGATAAAGTCGAAAGCATGAAGGGATTGTGTCCTCTGAAATGAAAACATTCAAGAACGTAACAAAGCAGGCGTTGTTAGTGTTAATTACGGAACACTTTTCACAGCATGAACAGGTCATTTAAATAACAATAGTTGTGATGGTTATAGTATACTAAGCCAACTAGCCTGCGCTTACATAGTCATAAGATCGCGTCACAATAAATTATCATGAAATGTTTCGGCGATGCGTATTTTTAGTAGAATTTTTAAAGACTTGCTTTTCTGACAACGGAGATTTGTTTGTATGGATTATTTTTCCAAATATACCTATCAATCTTAAGTAAATACTTAGAAATAGTAAAGGATCACAAGACATAATATTCATGATATATAAATGATAATATTGATGATGAAACATGGAAAAAAATATATGAATGTCCTTTTAAAACCACCACCAACTCCAGACTACAGTGGCTACAGTACAGAATAAACCGCAGAATCCTGACTACAAACACATTTTTATTCAAAATTGGCAAATCACACAATTACCTTTGCACTTTCTGTAAAAATCACCCTGAAAACGAATATTATACCTAAAAACCTTACAAACAAGAATTCATTTATGGTAAACATACATATAAACATACAAAGTTTTATATATAGAAACATCAGAATACTACTTTTTAAAAATACATATATGAAACTTAATGCCTAGATATAGACCTTAATCTGACAAGTCTCAAAAAACGTATGAAATTTGAATTAAAAACACAGAAGATCTTTGCGTCTAAACAGAATAAATTAATAAATAAGGATGAGTTAAACCATCAAATAGATAACTGGATATGACTCAGTATGACATATTTGTTATATTATTAGTAATATAGTCATTTACTGACCCTCTTCAGAACCATAGAGGGTCAGTAACTGACTATATAACGAATTTATCGCATCGAGGACCCTTTTTGCTTAAAATGAAAATGATGTAGTGCATAACCAAACAATATGAATATTTAAAAAATTTGATCAACTTTGATAAATTAAAATGAAATAAATTATTATCTAACTAAAACATAACATGTTTAAGTTTTTTGTCCTTGGAACAAGATATCACACAGACCGTTAACATTTCAGGTACCCGTATTTGTTGTTTTAGTTTTGAAGCGGTGAGCAATGGGCGGCCATATTGCCCTATAATGGAATCCTACTGACCCTCTATAGAAATCTAGAGGGTCACCACGTGACAGCTCTAAACCAATGGTTTTTGGATATTTTTGTCCGAGCTGCGATATGTTCACATATTCATTCTATACAGATATACATTAATAAATATACTGTACTTTTTCGTCTCGTCACTGTAATAATAATAATCAAATTAATCATACATTTTAATTCACCAGGCTTCACTTAAAAATTACCTAGGATCTCTCCCCATTGTATTGTATTTGCATCAGTGTATATGCCTTTATGTGTGTACATGGCTTTGGCAATGTTTTTAATATCTGCTTATGATATCAGATGAAAATGATGACATAGGATAATGATGGCTAAGGAGGAGGAGGATGTAAGACAATGATGCTGATGCTGCTGCTGCTGCTGATGATGATGATGATGGATGATGATGATGATGTTTGTGATGATGATGTCTTGTGATAATGTTAAGAATAATGTCATATGATGTTGATGATGATGATTATGATGATGATGATGATGATGATGATGATGATGATGATGATGATGATGATGATGATGATGATGATAATGTTGATGATGTCATATGATGTCAGATTATAGTGTTAAGAATGATGTCTTATAAACTAGTATATAAGTGATTATATTTGAAATGCTTGACGGGGATAACAAACAAGGGCATCAAAATGTTTACTTTTGTTCATTGTTAGGAAAATATTTAGTCGGCTGGAAGCACGCGTTTTAGATGTTTAAACTTACATAAACATGAACAGATTAATTGTCACAGAGATAAGACTCGTACCAACCGAGTTAGGTTTGATGTCACTGGGAATGTAGAGAGCTTAGCGTTGTCACTGTGTGTATGCTATCACTAGACTGGCGACCAACCCCTTTTAAGTTTTTATGAAGAATTTCTCGACTGCATTTTATTACTAGCTTATCTCCCCCTAGTTTAGAATCAGACATCCAAGTGATCAAAATTAATAGAGTAATTTTTTTCTTAATTATTTAATATTCTAGAGACGGTGGCCAGTCTATGCTATCACACACAGTTCGTATTTTGTAAAACGTATTGACTTACAGTTCGCAAAATTAAGGTATGGCTGCAGGCCTTCTGATCTTAATGGGGTTGTCTAACGCGTTGGCTGTTGGCGTGCAAATTAACCTACAGAACTTTCAGGAGCAAGTGTTGATCTTGAAAAGTGTTTTGGAACGTGTGGACCATGATTACGGAAGTCTACGCAAGCAAGACATTCAGTAGACATTCCGCTGCATTTGTTTATTAATTGAAATGACATATAACAAGTATACGCAATGTCCGCATGTTCAGCCAAATTATTTAGATCATCGAATGGTGGAACGAGGGAAATACATGTGAAGGTCATAGCTTGACAAAGGGACCAGTCGGTCTTGAAACGTTGCGAAACGTTGAATACGTACATTGTTTGTGTAGAAAGTCAAACTTTGATATTACATGTCGATTGTAATTTCCCTGAAAATTGCACTACTTTTTCACCAGTGATTGGAGCGAGATTTTTCACCTTTAATATTTAGAAAGTATAAATGAAGACATCAACAGACGAAGAAATGTAGGATTTCTTCTCCTTAATAAGTAATATTAAGTTATATATCGCTCTGTAGAATTGAGTGGGGCAAACAAAAAGGTACGTAATCTCGAACGGCAAAATAGAGCGTTGTGGAAAATTGTTGCCTGGAGCTTGAAATAGGCACATGTATTGGTGATGTCATGTGGATGGCTATCTTACCATACTTAAATATATAGTCTATGTATTGATATGTTTAAGGAATAATAAGGATTATTTCTAGGGATTATATGGTAGATACAGAAAAAGCTGTGTGTACTTTGCATAAATCCGCGAAGCAATTTATGTACAAAAGTGCACACAGACATTTATATGTACCGTTTTACCCAAGAAGTAATCATGTTTATCTCTTACAATTTAGTTTCAAAAGACAGACAACATTTTCAGTTCTGAACATATTCATATTTATTGTTTTCTGATAAAAACAAACTAATTTTGCAGTTTCTGTGCAGTAGTTTTATCGCCAACCAACTTCAACCAATCAGAAGTGAGAATTGCAAATACCGCACCAAATATAACTTTTCGTCAATCATTAAGGGAATAGACAAAACTAAATGATATGCTCACAAACATGTCATATAATGATTACGAATGTGTCTAAGACCTAGTGTACCATTGTAAGTTAACTGTCGATTGAGATAATACATTTTCCTTTCTTATCTTAAAGAAGGAGATGATTTATTTTCTAATGTTGAAGTTTTTCTTCAAACTAAAGCGACTATAGAGATTAAAACAAATAAAATAATAACAGCACATTGATAACGTATATGCAACTTATCAGTTCGTTAACAATGTTTAACGTTTCGCCATGATGGCAGCATACTTTAAGTAGCCAGTTCTATTAAATCATTGTCTACAATAGAGTTATCGATCCTGTTCAAGTTAACATCAGTCCATCTGGCATTGTGTCATTTGATGAACAATGGGCGTTTTCTATGGACAATCAATAGAACGCTATGAAAGATAAACAGATACAAATGGGTCGACACATTGTTTTCATAAGACATGTCAGCTCTTACTTTCGATTTAAACACCACAGTGGGCAATATATTATGGAAGCTAAACCTGGCCATACATTTGCAATGCATCATACACAGGATGAGGGAAAACAAAGAGACAAAATTTGAATAAGAAATTTTCGAAAAATTGAAAGTAAACAGACTTTGCAACCAGGAAAAGGGTGGTGAAGCCAAACTTTTATAATTTAAAATTAAGACACTTTCTGTATGTAGATATTTCATGAAGACATGGTAGAAACACGTCTTTGGGTTAACATAAGTTACATTTTGAAGAAGCAATAATTCACATGGGTTTTTATCCAGTAAATAAGCCCAGGCCGTAGAAATCGATATCACTTATTTTACTTTTGCTTCTTTTCCTCATATCCAATCGCTTTACGCCCGCCGAATTTCCATACACTATTTGGCATTATCGACGTTTTCAGATGATATTAACTGTAAAAGAACTCACATCATTTGTCGATGGTACTATTAACTAATTCATTGTAAATGTGGCGACTGTAGAAACACACTCCTTTAATTATTTTAGTAAAATTATGGTTTGATAACCAAAATGATTGGATCTTAAGACGAAGATTATGAGTTATACAGTAGATGTTTCAAACTAGCTTGATATATGGTGGTCAATATTCGAGATTATTGGTTTACAATGCTTTGTCGTTTTGTAACAAAAAATAACAGAGATTAAGTGTTTTCATCATGATATTCGTACATGTGATCACTGCTCTACTACGGTATGCCTATGCTCAAGGTAAGTGCTGTGCGTAATATTTTGGTGTTGTTACTCTAAGGATATGTACCTAATTAACTCGCTCCAAAAGTGTTTAGGTATTTTTATGTAAATCTTGTTAAAGAAACGTGTGGGGGATTAAATGAATAATTTCTGTTTAGCTTATACCTTAAAAACAAAGGAAAATAAAAAGGTTTAATTGAAGAAGAAGAACAAGAGGTGTACTTCGTATTCAGCATTGATGAAAGTAAGGGAAATGTATAAAAACTAAAAGAAAAGATTTGCATGGAGATTTTTTAGGGCTCAAGGAGAATAAGACTATGTGCTCTTAAGTGTCAACATCTTCTGATTCATCAACGACAATCGTCATATTAATTTAGG